ATAAATGCGACGGAATGTATACATTATTTTCTCTTTCTCTTTATTTTACCATGTGATAGCTTGCCTTTAAAAAAAATATATACCAAAATAATGTTTACAACTGATGATCATTGCTTCTTCGGTAAATAATAATGCGACAAAATGTTCATTATTTTCTCTCTCTCTATATTTTACCATGTGATAGCGTGCCCTTTTTCAAATCAAATACCAATATAATGTTTACTACTGATGATCATTGCTTCTTCGGTACATAATAATGTGACGAAATGTACATTATTTTCTATTTCTCTATATCTTACCATGTGATAGACTAACTTGCCTTTAAAAAAATAAAAACAGAAGTAATGTTTACGACTGATGATCATTGCATCTCTCTTTCAGGCCAAGAGAGCTTTGAAGAACATCCTCCAGAAGTGCATTCACCTACCAGCCCTTGAGCCTCTCCTACATGATGCCCCACCCAACATCCTCAAGCATGTGGTTGGTCAGTTCAGTAAGGTACTTCCCCACGATGCCAACGCCCGTCGTCTGTTTGTGACCAGCGGCGGTCTCAAGAAGGTGCAAGAGATCAAGGCAGAGCCCGGTAGTGCCTTACACGAGTACATCGATACCATCAACAACTGCTTCCCAGAGGAGATTGTCAGGTTTGTCAGCTCTTCGCTCATTTCATATCAAATAATGAATAATAATAATGAAAAATAACCTAGGACTCTAAAGCACATTTCATCTTCAGAGAAAATATCAATGTGCTTAAATCCATGATGGACATTGAAGTTTTTTGTGTTTTTCAATAATAGCAAAAATCATACCAAAATACATCAATTTTGTTCATTGTTTGGATTTTACCCAAAAAAAATGAAATCCATTTGATTGAACAGGTTATGTAAGTAACCAGAGTTTTAGGAACATCTAAAGAAAGTAAAAGATAACTGAGATGACAAAAAAAAAAAAAACAGGAGGATAAGTTGTCTGTGAGCTCATTTTATTATTGCTTTGTATCGGAATTGAAAATTAGCAGCACCTTAGATTGTGTTCTGCTATTTTAGTATTTTGTCTGTTTGGAACCAGCAGGGCCTTAGCTCATGTACGTTTAATGCAGAGTAAACCTCCTTATTGCTCTGAACAGACAATTTATAGCCTTGAGATAAGAAAAATCTGACGAGTTTCCTGAAGCTAACCAAAATGGCAACCATTAAATGAATAAGAATAGGAGGAACTCTAATCTCTGAACAAGAATTGCCACACTCTCACAGCTTTCAAGAGGTGTCTGAAAACACATCTTTTCTAATTTGTTGTAATATTCCTCTCTGTTTGTAATTAATGTAAGCTTTGTATTATAATGTTCTCTCTCTCTTTGTTTGTAATTACTTCTTGTCAATGCACTTTGCATCTAATGAATGGTGCTTTACAAATGTAATATTATTATTATTATTGTTATTATAAACAAGCTTAAAGCCTATCTGCACTAGTTTGGCCAGGAGGGGTTAGACTTCCCCGCATGGTCACTGACAGGCGGTTATCTCATCAAATCAGCTCTTAATTAACATAAGAAAATGGGACCATGGGGGACAAATGGTCACCGCTTAGGCATTATTTGCTGTAAAGAGGGCCCAAGTATAGTAGTGCAGTGGGGCTTTAATTCCCATATTTTCCCTGATGTTTTAAATTGGACGTCCAATTCTATTTCTCTCTTCCATACAGGTACTACTCCCCTGGTTATTCAGATGCCCTGCTGGACAGAGTCGAGCAATACCAACCGGTTGCCTAGACGACAAACACCGCTACAGCTCCAACCTACCTTCCTGGACAGCAAGCAATCACACTTTGTTTTCAGAAAATGAAAAAAAACTCTGTCGATAAGTGGTTGCATTTTCTCATTTCAGTAGCTTCAAATGTGAGAATGAAGTGGATCTAAAGATACTCCATGAATTTGGCATACTTCATGCACCAGCATGATATTCAAATTCATAGTATTCTTCAAAATTATTTTATTTTATTATAATAACATAGGACCCCTAGCTCTTTATGATTTATAAAGCCTACCCATCAACGCAGCCATTTTGTGCAAAATCGAATGCAAGTGGTATGGTAGTAACAATCCTACGATACATTATGTTTTACCATCATGCGGACACATCTTTTATATGGAACTGAGCAACAACTTTACATTATATGAATCAAAATAATTTCTTGGTTTAAATCCATGTGGATAACCCTGTCAATGAAAGTTGTAATGCTAAAGGAATATCTATCATTGATAGTTTATTAGTTTATTAAATACTTACCGACTAAATACATCTAGGTGGATACGAGTCAGTATATGCACTGTTTCTGTCTATCTTTATTTGTATTCTTATATTTAAACAATCTGCATTAGATTTATTCTTGAATTGCATATTTACATGTACTTATATACTTGTTAAAAGTAATGCACATTGTTAGATACAAGTACATGTAATTCATTAGGAACCTATTGCACTTGAGATGAAAATACTTCTTTAGATTTTAAAATCTTTGTCTCAATTGTAATTATCATAAGAAAGTGCCCTATATCTTTAAGGGTTTTCAAGATTTGTCGAACGATATTTAATCTTGAAATTTGAAAGGGGTGCACATTTTGATCCGTCCCATAATGATTTGTACATTCTTAAATGTTTTGTACTTATTTGTAAATATTATATTTGGTTATTATGTTAAATGTATCTATTTGTGAGAGGTTTGTGAATAAAACATTTATGTACTTAAAATTGGTTTACTATTTTTGTAATATGTTATGTTGTGATGAAAATGGTGTTATTTAGAGAGGTTTGAATTAAAATTGTTTGAAAGTTCTTATATCACAGCCAAAAGTAAAGATGTCTAGAGTTCAGTCACTTTCCTCAGATGCGAATTGGCAGACTGAAATAAGCAGTCAATTTTCTGATTGCCAGTAGTTGTTGTTTTGGCGATAACTGCGTCCTATATGACAGCCGATATGCGTCCCCGTCCCGGCTCATGTTGTTAGGCGTGCGTTTGATCCACGTAGCTTCCCGGCTCCTCCTGGCCTAAAGGATGTGATATAAGAACTTTCAAAGCAGTATTACAGCCATCCAGATGAAACTATTCCAAAGTCTGAATTACTTCTACTTCTACGACGATACTCAGCAGGATCCATAAGTCAGGATGTTGTGCTGAGGAATAAACTATCTAGTTCTTGGTCTAGATGCTTGGTGGAAGCGCTCCCTTGAAGCCCTCCAGTGAAGTAGCGTCAAGGGTGATCTTTGAAAGTGCATTCCACGCAGTTACTGTCCGAGGGAAAAATGAGTTCTGGTAGAGCTGGGTGCAGGATGGGATAGCCAGCAACTTTTTTGAGTGATACTGTCGTGTGTTGCTGGCAATCATGGGTGCTGTGTAATGGTGTGCATTGATTGCTACTGTGTCATTTTGGATCTTGTACATGAGGTGGAGGCTTGCAGCATTTCTTCTCCTCTCCAGGCTTGCAGCATTTCTTTTCCTCTCCAGGCTCTCCCATTTCAGATGTTGAATCATGGCCGAGACACTGGCCATACGACAATATCTCTGGAGGGTGAATCTTGCTGCTCGCCTTTGTACTGCCTCGATTTTTGGATATATGCTATATGATATACCAAGATACATAGAAGCTGTCATTGGCAGTCCATTATAAAAGGGCAATCCAACCCTTGTAATAAGTCATTTGGATGAAAGGAACACAATAAGAGAAACAGAATGGCGAAAGTTTGAAATAAATCGGATCAATAATAAGAAAGTTATGGATGTTTGAAATATGAGATCACCAAGTCTATGCAAGTTGGCAGTTTAGTCAGTGTTTTTGAAGTCACAGTTAACTCTCTCGTTTGTCTTGTACAACAGTATGATTGTTTTCTGTATTTCTCCCAAGTGCCTTCTCCCTTGCAGCACAACTTAAAATATGGTATGGAAGTTATTATAGGTCCTCTTAAAGAGCATAGATGCTCCTGGGTCATACATTTTTCGAATCATTGAAATTGTAGTCATTTTGTACATTGGATTAAATGGGAAAGTTGTCTGCCACTACGTCACAGAGACTTTACCGTTTCAGCCAATTTGAACTTTTTTTTAATTCATAACTTTCTAATTTATTGTCCAATTTCATTCAAACTTTCTCCCTGACTTTTCTGCTTTCCTCTAGGAGTAGTTGCTGTCAAGATTGGGTTTCCGTTTTAACGATGACATGATAAAACCATTCCTCTCTCTCTTTCTCTCTCTCCCTCTTTCTCCCCTCTCCCTGTCTTTCCTTGCCTCTCTCTTTTCTCTCATCCTCTATAGAGTATCGAAGCTGTGATGTCATAAAAATGTATTTTTAGAATATCTCAATTTTGTCTTCATTTTCTGAAAGAGCATCAGGAGCATATAACACGGAGTTCCCATAGGACATATATTTATTCAGATGGTCATATCTCAGCCAATACTTAACATATTCAATTGGTTTTCGACATTTGGACATTTTTATGCTCTTTCGGAAAATGAAGAAAAAAAATTGAGAAATTCTAAAATTAGATTTTTGATGACGTCACACTTCACCATTCTATACTATTTTTTCTACCTTTCTTTGTACACTTGTGCCTTCTCAATCTCCTACTTGATCAGAATCCCTCCATTACAGGCCTTCCTGATAAACCAATAGACCATTTCATAATGAAATCAAATTTAATGCTTAAATCTTTGTCAAGTGCCATGTTACAAATTAATTCATACACCTGCTTCAAATAATTGTATTTCAATAGTCAGAATATCAATTGCATACATTAATTGTTGCTAGGTAAGACAAAATATGTGCATTAGATATGATTACATTACAAAAATGGCCTATTTATAAACGTAACATTTTGAGTTACAAAAGAGAATCAAAAGTTTCAGAGAAGCTGGGTGAAAAAAGTCATTTATTCAAAAAGAAGTCCATTATAGAAATGGTGTTGTCAACTTCATTTTTACCTGTTCTCTCACATCCTTGCTTCTTTACCTTTTTTATTTCTGGGCTAAATCTTCCAACTCTCCTCTCTTTCTCTGAATGTATTTTGATTTTGATGTCTCTTAATTATCAATGGCATTGTAAATACTGAGCTCAATGAAAAGAATGTAAACTAACAATCTTTAGAAATCAGTTTTAATGTATTTATTACATATTCCACATTTCACGAAATGCTACTAAGAAACGTCAATCAGTATCCTCTCGTCCTGATGCAAGGAGGATCTCAAGTTCGTACGTATGAAACATTAAATGATATGATACAAACTTAAGTCTTAAAGACTGTAACAAGGACTTTATATTAACTGGTTTAATAATAAATCATTCTTTTAATTAAAGTGTACCAATATTAACCTTCCGAGGGGGGAGGTATAAAAATGAAGAGCTTCCTTATGTAACTAATGAAAGCCACTAATGGTTCAGAGATGTACCACAAATCTGTTGCTATCATTAATATTTACTTGTATGAAAGGTGTACAAGGACTTTGGGGAAGTTCTAATTTCAAAATGGAACAGTTGCTCAATTGTACAATCAGGCAGGCACACACTACAAAGAGGATGAAAACTTTCTGCAATACTACACCACATTTCATTTCATAGCCGCCCCTCCCCTATTTATGTCATAATCCATTGACATATCAATATTTTAAAGAGTACCATACACCTAACAAAATAATTTGTGCACAGCTATAATGTATAAAATCAACCCAAGAAGACTTGCCCAGCACTCTATGGGTTAAAGATTTGGGATTTGGGAGAATGAAGAAAATAAAGAATAAATAAAACCTCATGCAGAGAAGTTCACCTGGGTTCTGTGTGAGCATGTACAGGTTCATCGACAAGTCTACTCAAAAGTTGCTTTTGAGAATGTATTTAAACTTGCGAGATCTGGGACATGTAAGCACATACTATAAATACAGGCTAGAAACATGTAACTGCTAATATATAAAGTAATTTGGGCGATTGGTAGTTTGGTACACTTTAAAGTAAAAGCAACAAGAGGGTCATGGACTGATTTCATCAATGAATAAACAAAAACAAGAACAAATATATGTACATGTATATGTAAGAAACAATTTGATGATAGGAATGCTAGTCCATCCTGGCTTTAACCTCTCGTGTTGTCACTTTGTCCTTCTCTCTGCAAAGAAAATTAAAAAACAAAATCAAACATGTCTTTCAATGAAATACATGTACAGTGAAACCTGTACATAAAGACTGCTCAAGGGAAACATGATCAGTGGTCTTAATAGGCAAGTGGTCTTTATGTAAAGGTTCATTTCGTACAGGTTTCAATGAGAAACCATGTTCAAGGGAATCATAAAATATGGTCTTTACAGACAGGTGGCATTTATATACAGGTGGTCCCTAAAGAAGGTTTGATTGTACTTTGAAAAATGGCTATTTTTTCTGTCAACTGATCTCTATTTTATACTTGTATATACATTGGTACACCCCTTCTTTATTGCTTTCAAAAATACCCTTGAACAAAAGATAAATTACAAGGCAAGATGAATATAATTTGTTTGAGGAATGTATTTCACTGCATATATGCTTGGTTATCCTGTCATCCACTATACATAATGTAGCTTTTGATTCAGAGCACAAAATATATTGAATGAATTTATTTTCCTTCATGACAATAACTCTGAGGCAGCCATAAATATTGTGGATAATTGGACAACTAATGCCTATAACATTGTGATTTTAATAACCTGGGTCCCGTCTTATAAAGGATTGATATAAATCGCAAGACTGCAATCTTGCGACTGATGGGAGGACTTACGATTGATTTGGATCAATCGTAACTCCTTATAAGAGACCCTGATCAGCATTTGGGTATTGTAACATGTTCAGTAGCTGGCGAGTCATATTTTCGGCCTGGGCCTTGACAATGATTGATGTATAGTATACTTACATAATGTGTACTACAACTCCCCATCCTGCTAGTGCATCCCTGTCTACAGCATTCAGAAGACCTTGTGACAGGGTCTCAAATAAATCATCAGGTGCCTGCAAGAAACATTGCAAAGTCAGCTTTAACCAATCACAACCTATCATAAAGACTCGGGGGGGGGGGGGGGGGGGGGGGGGTGTTTCACAAAGATCTTAAGTCGAACTTAACTCTTAGGGTACGTTTATGCTCAGTTTTGAAGGCAGAATGAGCGATTTGAAACGCTCATCGTAAACGCTCATCGTAATCGCAGTTCCACGGTGTACTGTTTATGCTCACTTCTCTGGCTCCTCCAGGCAATTCTGGCTGGGTGGCCTTGCAGCTGGATTCGCAAACCTGCACTGCGCAGGCTACGTAGACCCACTAGAGGTCAGTGCGTTGACCCCATTTAAACTCGTTTACAAATGATTGTGCGTTTATGCTTCCCCAGAATCGCTGATTTTGCAGAATCACCGATCATAAACGCACCTTTTTGTGAGTTTACGATCGGCGATTATGATCGCCGTTTTTCGGTGATTCTACAAAAAATGAGAAAGGACGCAACCGTGTTTTGAACTAAACGCGTAACAGATGCCTCATTCTGGCCAGAATTAGCGGAGCATAAACGTACCCTAAGTTGAACTTAAATATTATGGAGAACCCTCTAGAACTATTAGTAGCCTTAGAATAAAAAACATTCAAAAGCAAAAATGTAAGTGTTTTAGACTTTTCATAAATTCCACCTCAAGAACATGAAATCTCCTTGAAAATAGAAAATATGAATGATTTGAATCAACATTTTGTGCCTTTTAAAATAAATTTTACAAAATATTTTCAAAGATGCTAACGGCTTTCCATAATTGTTAAGTCCAACTTAGAGATACTTAGGATCTTTGTGAAACAACCCCCCCCCCCTGAATACCAGTTCTATTCTAATCATCATTGTTGTAAAAGAATATTGATTCAACATACGGCCAGCTATGTTATCAAAGATGCTTTTTATGCCTCTGACACCAAAGGTAGTGTCAGAAGCATTACAATTTTGTGTCGTCCATCCCTAATTTGAGGACCATTAAATTGATTTAAACCAAGTATATACATGTATGTGCATGTAAGGATAAACTGATTAGATTTGGGTGTGAGAAGTCAAATATCTCTAGTGGTTCTTGGGATATTGCGATAACGAGAAAGCGGGACGGACAACTCAGAAACATAATGCCTCAGTCACCACCTTCAGTAGGAGACATACTTTTTTGTTTAAGTGACCTGACTTCCAGCAAATAATACAAGTAGTATTGATGTATTTTCATTTAAGGTTGCAATCAATTACAACTTGAAATGCCACAGAGCCACATGCGCTAGAATGTCACGTTGAGTTCCGGTAAATGAAGAATACAATGTCTGTTTTACCTGACTGATGAAAAACAAATCACCAAAATGTATCTGTTCTTTGTAAACTTTGCCTGAGCCTTCATTTTACATGTGAGCTAACCAAATATTATCCATGTTGAATGACATTGGACCAATAAATACATTGAATTGAATGAATAAGAAAGCATACAGTGTATGCTTGTAAGTAAACAACCAGGGGACCAACAGCTTTTAAAGTCCTACCCAAGGACTTGGTAATGAGGATGAATGCCTAACCAAAGGGCATGGTGTTCATACTTACAAGGTCTGGAACCCAGACGGATTCACACATGCCGTAGAGCTGCTCAGTACAGGTTCCTGCGACTACAAAGTCATCGGTGAACATGGGACATCCAATAAGATCCAGATTACAGATGAAAGGCTTGTAGGTCTTGGGATCCAGACCAGCAATCACAGGCTCAATAAAGTATGGCCCAAACCTGATATAATAATAAAGGTCATAGGTCAACTCAAGTCATTTAATAAATCAGCAGTACAAATGTACCAACAACTACACATTTCACAATGCAAATTCCAAAAAATACATCTTACAGTATGAAAATTCTAACAGATACATCGGACATGAAAAATCCAACAAAATTAATACACCTTACATCATGAAAAATCCAGCAAATACTGTACATCTTACATTATGAAAATTCTTACTGAAGTGGTCTTTTCACAGTTTTGTTTTCACTGAAATAGTGTACCAGCAAAAGGAAATGTCCAAGAAAATTACTTTTTCACATGTGCAATAAATAGTAGACCTCAAAGACAATCATACAGTTACAGTACTAGATAAGTAATACATTTCAGTGAAGATTACCTATTATCATTAGAGTAAATAAAAGACAATCCTAAGTAATGAATCACCGGGAGCCATATTCTGAAAGCGATGTTATTCACTAATGATACAGAAAATGATGTTAATTGTCATTACAAATTCAAATTGCGTGGACAATAATCAATGAATTGCCTCATAGAATCTTTATTTTTTATGACAATAATCATTGTTTTACCAACATAAAATATAACAAAGTTTTCAAAATACCATCCTGTTGCCCATAAAGTTGGAATGAAATTTTCTGACCTCTTCTTGTGAAATGGTTGTGATATGATTTAATCCTGATATATAAAGTGTACATCTTCTCAGAACTTAATAGATCTTTCTAAGGAATTATAGAGATTGATTGATTGAAGTTCTGAGAAAATATAAACTTTACCTATTTAGAATAAACCATATTAGTGTCACAACAGAGGGTTAGAAAATTGCAAGCGACAGTGTACAAAGTATATGAATATGAAAGGAATTACCTTCTTTCGTACAGTAGGTTCGATACCATACTCATGAACGTCTCTGGTTTCACATCCCTATTTTCTCGCAATGTGTAGAGATTCAGTCGGAACTTTAATCTGTTCGATCTGTAAAAAGAACAGTAAACAAAAGGCTTAAGGTTATAACTAGCTTGATTACAATACTTAATAATACCTTTATATACAGTACACACATAGTTTACTCATGTCACCTATAAAGTCTAAGAATGGCACACCATTAACTAGGTAACATTAAATGTGAAAGAAAAAAATTCATAGAGTGGGTGATGGTGTGTAATCATCTTATTATGTTGCCTTTCCAACTTCCTCTTTCAACTTCGGTCTCTATATCTGTAGACAACTCTCTAGATATATCTTAACTTCAGATATTTCTTGTTCGAGTATAATCAATGTGGGCTTGCAAGTAAAAGTAATGCTGTAATGAGGTAGTACTGTATACGACAAAGGAACTTTCACAAATTGTAAAAGACAGCCACTTATATATAGTTATATACATGTACATGTATGCAGTTCGTGAATTGCAAATGTTTCAGTGTTGTGTTAATTTAGTATTTTGCAATATAGACTTTCGCTAATCTGAACTAATTTTCAATTCATGGGTCATTCCATGTCAAATCACCCAAAAAATCTGAAAATCTTAACCCGACCATTTTTGATTTTGATGAAACTTAGTATACTTGTTGAGTGTGATCTCACAGCACCAAATCCAAAATTTTAGGTCAATCGGGTGAGGGGTTTGGGAGATACGGCCCACCAAATTTTGAGATTTTTTCAAAAATGGGGGTGGCGGGCCTACCTTTGAACCCTTGTATCTCGGGACCTAATGGGTCATTCTTCACAAAATTTGTATTGTTTTAAAGGGTATTCAATAAGGATTCCAAATCTGCCGCCATTTTGAAGATTCGTACATGTTGGGGTACTTTGACCTCTTGACCTCAGATTTGACCTTGAAATTGACCTTGTGGATCACGTAACTTTGACAACATTTTTCATGAAATGTAATCTCTGACATGTTCACTAAAACATATTAAAGTTTCAGAGATATAATATTTTTTGTTTTGGAGTAATAAGGATTGAAAGTATTCATGCTCACAGATATTCACAATAAACCCTATTATACTGTATACAATACATGCAATATCCACAGTACAACATACATCTTCCACATGTTTTTTTTTGTTTTAGTCACATCCATCCTAAATGTCAGCAGTACTTGAATAGAAATAAAATGACAAGTTCATATAGGCCTAAAGGGTTAACAGGATGTATGGCTTTAGACCTCTGAGTCGGTTCTAGGATAATTACCCCCTGGAAAATTTACCCCAGAGGTCAATTACCCCCCCCCCCCCCCTTTTCGTTAAAGTGGAAGTCCAAACTGATAATAAGGTGGTTATAATCAAAGCAGATTTATTTTTGGGGGTATATTATTCTAGAGGGGTAATTTTCCCGGGGGGGGGGGGGGGGGGGGGGGGGTAATTGTCCTAGGGGAAATTGTCCGGGTGTTGATTGTCCTCGGGGGGGGGGGGGGGACAGATTGTCCTAGGAGGTAATTTTCTGAGGGGTAATAATCCTCTGGGTGTGATAGTCCTTGGGGGGTAATTGTCCTCAGGGGGGGGGGGGGGGGGGAATTTCCTGAGGGTTAATTTTCCAGGGGGGTAATTATCCTAGAACCGACTCAGAGGCCTAAAGCCATACATCCTGTTAACCCTTTAGGCCTATATGAACTTGTCATTTTATTTCTATTCAAGTACTACTGACATTTAGGATGGATATGCCTAAAACAAAAAAGCATGTGGAAGATGTATGTTGTACTGTGCATATTGCATGTATTGTATACATTATAATAGGGTTTATTGTGAATATCTGTGAGCATGAATACTTTCAATCCTTATTGCTCCTAAACAAAAAATATTATATCTCTGAAACTTTTACATGTTTTAGTGTACATGTCAGAGATTACATTTCATGAAAAATGTTGTCAAAATTACGTGATCCACAAGGTCAATTTCAAGGTCAAATCTGAGGTCAAGAGGTCAAAGTACCCCAACATGTACGAATCTTCAAAATGGCGGCAGAATTGGAATCCTTATTGAATACCCTTTCCAACAATACAAATGTTGTGAAGATTGACCCAGTAGGTCCCGAGATACAAGGGTTCAAAGGTAGGCCCGCCACCCCCATTTTTGAAAAAATCTCAAAATTTGGTGGGCCGTATCTCCCAAACCCCTCACCCGATTGACCTAAAATTTTGGATTTGGTGCTGTGAGATCACACTCAACAAGTATACTAAGTTTCATCAAAATCAAAAATGGTCGGGTTAAAACCATTGGGTGATTTGACATGGAATGACCCTCATGTAAGTTTCATGCTTACAAGAGTTTCTGGTTTTACAGAATCCCTGTAAGAATTGTTGCCTATGCTGGCAAGTGAAATAATTATGAAGTAAATGAACTTGGTTTACTTACACTGTTGTTATGTCGGTAGCGAGCCCAGAGAGACCCAAATAGAGCCTTGGTCCCATTGTAAAGATCTTCTGTGCGTTCATTGAGACAGTCTGAGCTTGGACACCAAACCGCCTATCTGACGCTATCCCAACACAGTCTTTACCTATCATGGCCACAACGGCCGAGCCGTTATATGACATAATAGACTGTAATGAAAGAAGGACATATATGTATTATGTTATCAATGAGAGCTGAATAACAAAAAAGCTTTGGCTGGCAGAAGGGTGCAAACACACACACACCATTTCAGCACTTCATGGCACTCCTTGCATTTACTTGCCTCACCTACCATCGGCAATCCAGCCCAGTATAAAGCCTCCTGAGCTGAGTGAGCTGCCAAAGAAAGGGATTACTCCACCTCCAAGTACTAAGTACAACACTTTTTAATTATTGAATATTAGAAGTACAGTTTCAAAGCCATACCCTGCACACGGCACAAAAGCACTGCATAAAGTATGAAAATACTTTATTTAAAGATAATATGTCCCTTTTGCAGCCAACATCACATTCTGTAGAACTTTGCAATTTAAACTTGAGCAGTTTCCTAATATTCAAATTATGCAAGGAAACCCATTTACTTGCTAGACCTCATTGTCAGACACTATTGAGTGACTGACTGGCTTTTTTTTTTTCATCTTTGGTAATAACATACATAAAATGAGCTGTAAAGGGTACATGAGCAATTGTCTACATCAATAACCCACTTCTTGTAATCGCCAAAATTAAACTGATTGAATCTTTGCGCAGCATAAAAACGTACAACCATTCGGTACAACGGTCTGAAAAATCAGACTATTACTTACTGGCTATATAGCTCCTAAGTCGATTCGACAACTAATAGTCGTTATTTTCCCCCTTAAAGACATTTTCAAGCGCAAGCCCCCCTTTTTTTAGGGAAGTTCTAAATTAGTATTTTCTTTCAAATGCCTTTTCATTTTTTTGGCCTGCAAATGGGACATAGTACCTTTAAGAGGCCGGTATTTAACTGGAAGGAGCATTGTTCTATTTTTTTTTTTTAAATTAATATAATTTTTTTGGAGGGTCACAACCCAGGACTGGTTAACGTTCATATGGTTAGGGTGTCTGATCGCGCACCCGATGTTGTGTGCTAAAATTCTTCCCATAGAGATTACACGCATCCCTATGCAGCCTACGTGCATTGCGCGACCATGCAAAAAAAGTCAATTTTTTTTTTTCAAATCGAGATTCAAACCTTTATCAGTTGTGATCCTGAAGGTGATAATCAATGAATGAGGTGTCATATGAAAGAGCAGGTAAATTCCAATATTTCCAAAGGGGCGTAGCCCCCGAAATTCTAAAAATATCTTGGTCAAAACAGCAATTTAAACATTGTGTCCTGGCTAACTCTGAGGTTTGTCACTTTTGAGATATGACGCCCCGATCGATAAGTAGTCCCAGTCCTAAGGAACAATTCTATGTGATTATATTTTCGCTAGCCCCCAGGGATCACAACTGATAACAGTTTAAAAATACCCTTCTCGCTATTTGGTGGATCAGCTAATTAGGAGGCGTGCGCTCCGCTCAGTCCAAACCATGGTTACATCGCGTAACATCTCCGCGCACGAACGAAACCCCAAATTCAATTACACATTATAGTGACTGAAATTATGGTTGGCAATTCCCTCGATAAACCCGGAAGTGAATACACGTTATAGTCAATGGCAATATCGCGCAGACAACGTGCGTTGTCTCCGCGATATTGCCATTGACTATAACGTGCATTCACTTCCGGGTTTTTTGTGCGACGAACGCCAACCATACTAGTCAATCGCACATGTCGCGGAGACAGCGTAGCTCAAGCTGCAAGTCGCGGATTGGCTTAGCAGCATGCGTACGATATGCATACGCTTGCATATCGCGCGATACAGCTGTTTGGCTAAATTTAGCAAAACAACATCACTCTGCGTGGACGTCTTTTTCGTCGATTTTGACCAAAATGATATGAATATACCAGCGTGTTGGAGGGGCTGTAACTTTTGATAGAAACATCGGTGAGACTTGAAATTTGAAATGTATTATTCTGATAACATTTTTTATTCAAATATCAAACAAAAATGGTGAAAAACGATCCCAAATTGAAAATTGAAAAATCGTTCAGACACCCTAATATGGTATTCTAAAGTTGCTCCCCGGCGTATTCAAGGCTCATGTGCAGCAGCATTTTCAATAGACAATAGTATATTTTATCATTTCATGCTCGCACCCAGGCCCAATCACTCCTACAATGCATAAAGGTCTAACCGTATATCGGAATTGTAAACTTGTAAACTTACTTTTAAAACCCTTTTTTCCCCTTCTTTTCGAGAGACTATTAAGTTCCCTCCTCCTGATATCGAAAAAATAAAAAAGTGTGCATTGCGGACAATCTACTTTAAAGCAATTGCGCAATATCTGATGGGTGGCTATCTATCTCGCATGCGCAGATAGCCTGCCACTCGTTCGTTCGTTCTTTTGTGTCTCCTGCTGCTGACCTGTGTTAACGACTGATCGCAAAGATAAACAAATGCGATGTAATCGGGCGTTGAGGTCTCCCTTCATTTTTAAAAAACTGCATAAAATTAGAAAATGACAGAACATAACTGACGGTTGGCCCAATCGGTAAAAGTAGGCTAAAACATCTGCAAAATCAAGGAAATTTTCATCAACGAAACCTGTCACTGTCACTCAGTTCCATTCGTTACTTTATTTGTTATCAATATCAATTATCATCATTGATTCATTTAATTTTTATAAACCCCTTTGAAAGTATCATACAGCAGGCTTTACAAAAGCTTGTTAATGTGCTGCAGTACAGTGTTGCCTTTTTTAATACACATCCAGGATTGTAATGCTGCTATGTGTGGTGGGCCCAATCTAGGCAATGAGGCTGGTTTTGCTCCACCAGCAGGTACGGCGCGGTATACACGGCCGCGCCGCCTCACAATCAGGTAGCGCTGACCGAGGCTAGGCCACACTCAATCCATCATCGCATCAACTTCACTCCTATTATTTACAGTATCCACGTCCAACTTTCTCTAATAAAAATCATCTAAAATAATTATTTCATCTTAAAATGCTCACAACACTACTTACCATTTTGAAGTTTATTTGGTTTCCCGAAAAACGAGCAAAATGTTCAGCACAAAAATGTGCAATTCACGTTCAGTATAAACGCACTGTCTCTTTTTGGACGAGGAGGGCTCTTTAAGATTTTTTGCACAAAGATCATAATGATTCAGGTTGGAAAGTAACCTTTGACCACTTTTTCAGATCACTGGGGGGTCGAATTATATTTCTTTGTAATTATGATATAAATAAAATGGACTTGAAGGGTATACCATCTTTTTATAAAGACATGTTGAAGGCATGGCAAGAATTAGATAAATGCAGACACTTTGGAGAAAATAAGAATAATCCGATTATATTTAGCAACAAGTGTATTTGTCTCAGCAATAAAACATTTTTTGATGTCGAACTATTTCAGAAAGCAGGGTTCTTGTTAATAGCCGGCAACCGGCTATTTTTTCCGGCTGTAACGGCAATCGTAGCCGGCTGTCGGCACCATTAAAAAAAAAAAAAAAAAAAAAAAAAAAAAAAAATCGTAGCCGACAGAGACTGATAGACTAGAAGTTGAAACCCACAGTGCTGCAGCTCAAAATGATGACAAGCCGATGAAGCTGAAGACCAGGAGGTGAAGTCCACCCTTGACATCCTAGGTCTGGATGAGGATCTTCTTAGCCAGTCCTCAGATTCAGAAATGGAATGATCATTCACTATGTAATTATTGCAAAAAGTTTCAGCCTCAGGTACATGAATATTAAACATGTGTCACATTACATTTCAATATGCGAGAAAAGTTTAATACATTCTGATTGAATTGACGAGATTTTTCCTTCTAAGGTCTCTAGAATCTGAATGGGAGATCTTGAAATGCTAGGGGCTTGCCTTCAGGGGAGACTCCCCTCCAGACTGAGGCACTGCACCTGGACCCTGCTGGGGGCGTAACACCCCCAGACCCCTGTGACAGCTGTCACATACCTGCAAACCATTTACCAATCCAATTTTGTCATATTTTTTTTTATGTGTGTTCCAATTTTTTAAATTTGTTATCGCAAACGATTTTCTTCACTGACAAGGTCCTGTAAACGTCAGTTAACCGTTTTTGCCCAGGACTACCTTGTATCATTATCATGTAATTCAAAATTGTAGATTCATCACAAATATGATTGATTTATCAGAAACAATAATGGAGCATTTTCATTTCATATTGTATACCATATGAAAAGTAAGTTATTCAGCCAAAATATTCATGATCTTTATCATTAAACTATGGCTCATACAGTGTGGTCATATCTTCAAAAATAAGGCTAAGATAGCACCAGAGAGCATCTAAAACCCTAAAGCTTCCAGGGCCCTTGGGCGGGCCCTGGACCCCGGCCGCAAGGGACTTTGCGCTTCGCGCTCGTGATGTGCGCTTTGCGCACATGGTGATGTGCGCTACGCGCACAGAGATTTTTCTTTTGCAATTTTAGTAGCCTCCTGTAAATCATAAATAGCCTGCTATCAGAAAAATTAACAAGAACCCTGAGAAAGGTATACTTCAAGCATCAGATATAATTGTCAGAGGTCATTTAAAACCGATCTTACATTTTTTAAATTTGGGTTTTGAAACTAAAAGCTTGCTTAGAATTCAAAAGATCTTTTCAGCAATTAGAAACGATTGGATACAAAGTGATTTTATGGAAGTGGACACTGAAAATTTTGAAATAGAATTGATGATATTTGGACGTTTACAGAAACTATGTGATATAAAATCCAGGCGGTTATATGATTACTTCATTGAAGACCTTCAAAAAGAGTATACATTACATGTTACAGATGGCTACTGTCAATTTGATCTTGGAATGACGGAGTTGAAAGAAACATTCACAAGGATGAAATGTGCAATGCTTTGTAATAAACATAGAGAGTTTCAATACAAACAATTACAAGGGGCTGTATATACGAAAAGAGAGCTCTTTAAATTTGGTTTTGAGTCAGACCATTTTTGTTCCTTTTGTAGACTAGAAGTAGAGACATACCAACATTTATTTTTAGATTGTCTTAAAGTTAAAAGATTATGGCAGGAGGTAATTCAAAAGTTACATTTAATCGAAATTGACATTGATGATTGGAAACCCATTTTTATGGGAATATCCGGCAATACTGCGAGAATATTTGTAATAAATTGTATCATATTTTTAGTAAAGTATATCATTTTTATTTCTAGAAAAGAAGGAACTTTGCCATCTGTACAGAAAACAGTACATATGCTTAAAAATTACAGAGACGAGGAATACAAAATAGCCTTCAAAAGGGGAAACTGGGGATGCACTTACAGAAATGGGAACAAATCGATGCATTTTTACTTTAATGGATGTGGGTATTATTATTATTAGTAGTATTATTAATTCTCTCTCGTGTACAGGTGGACAAACCGGAACAGGTTGCATGCAGTGTGTGTGTCGGCGTGAAGGGGGTATGATGAGATGGGTGGGCTAGGGGGGGGGGGGGTTAAGAGTTTGTGTGGTGTGAGTTGAGGGAACAGGTTGCATGCAGTGTGTGTTTGTGTTTGTATGTGTGTATATGTGTGTGAAAGGTGGTGTGGGTGGGCTAGAGGGGAGGGGGGGGGGTGTGAGAGTGTTGTGATAGGATGGTAATATCTAATTTTAAACCTTCCTCTACTGTTATTTTGATTATTCACTGTTACATGCAAGACTTTTTTTTTTTTTTTTTCCTTTTTTTTTCTTCTCTATGTTCATTGATTGATGTAACTTATGAAATGTCTTGTATCAAAGATCTTGTTTTATATTGCTTATCTTGATAATTTTTTGTTATGTGAATTTTTTGTTATGTGAAATTGTGAGGAAGGAAATAAAATATCATTTAAAAAAAAAAAAAAATAATGATTTTTTTAAAAACAGACAGCCCATGGCACATACCCATCTCTCTCTCTCTAGAGTTAATTAACATACTTTGATATCGTATAATCCATTTTTGATACAACAATAAATAAATTAATAAATAAATCATTTGTAGTCGTGATTCTAGTATGTGATCAAATAGCGCAGACTTGGATTGTGTGTTAAAATTCAAAAATCTGTAAAAGTGGTCGTTTCCGTCCCCTCCAAAAATTTAAAATCTCCATAAAGTATAAATTACCGATTTTTCTTACTCAGTTGCTGCACTCCCTGAAATGTATAATTTTAACAAAGTGCGTAGGCCTATATACACAATGTATGTGTAGACACAACAACAATTTTAATGGGGCACTTATCATTAGGAAAAGGGGCACTTTTTCAAGCACCCGAAAAGTGCCCCTTTTTACATAGGGAAAGTGCCCCTTTAACTTTGTAAGAAGTGCCCCTTTTTACATAGGAATAGTGCCCCTTTTACTTGACAAAGTGCCCCTATAAATTTGTAAAAGTGCCTCTTCCCCTTTTCAACTCTGATAAGTGCCCCTTTTATTTGGACACGTGCCCCTTTTCCTTCGACAAGTTCCCTTTTTCCTTTGCAATTAGTGTCTATTTTCCATTCTCATAAGTGCCCTTTTTAATCTCTGGTATAAGTGCCCCTTTTCAGGTACGAGAAGTTCCTCTTTTCAAAAGTTGATTGGTGCCCCCTTCACCTCTGATATTTGCCCTATTCAAATCTGAGAGGTGTCTCTTTTACTTTGACAAGTGCCCCTTATCTTAATGATAAGTGCCCCATTAAAAATAAGAGCCCCTTCCCCTTCTAATAAGTGCCCCTTCTCTGGTAAATGACCCTTTTCAGATACGAGAAGTTACTCATTTTCACTTTAGATAAGTGCCCCCTTAACCTCCGATAAATGCCTCTTTAAAATCTGATCGGTACCCATTATCTTTCAACTAATGCACATTTTCCTTTATTATAAGTGCCCCTTTTCATATCTGGTCATTGCCCCTTTTCAGGTGCGATAAGTGCCTCTTTTCACCTCTGATAATTCCCCTTTTAACAATGATACATGCCCCTTTTCCTTTCCAATCAGGGACCTATCCTCTTTTCATACATGCCCCTTTTCACCTCCTATAAATGCCCCCTATCAAAATCTGATGAGGCCCCCTTTTCCGTCGACAAATTCCCATTTCCTATTCTGATGACTAACTTTTTCATCCCTAGTGAGTGCATCTTTTTGAGGATGTAAGAACCTCTGATAATTATTCCTTGTACTTAGACACATGCTTCTTTTCTTTTCTGATAATTAAGTGTCCCCTTTTCCTTTCATCATTAAACGCGCCAGGCGCGGATCCAGGATTTCTTAGGGGAGGGGGCCCATAGTGAGGGTAGTGAGCATATTTTTTTTTTTGATCCTCAAAAAAATTTCAATTTGCACCCCCCCCCCCCCCCCTTGAGCGCCAGGGGGGGGGGGGGCCAACCCCCAAAAAAGGTAAAAATCACGTGATTTTACATGATTTTTTTCTCAAGGGGGGGGGGGGGCCCGGGCCCCCCGGGCCCCCCCTGGATCCGCCACTGAAACGCGCCACAACCCTATAACCCCATCAGGATTGGGTTTTTTCCTCTTTATAAGAAGTAATTTTTCACACTGCGATCTCACAAATATTCAAAATTTCCATTGCTCCCTTCGCTCGCTCACAAATAATTTTTCAGACCATCACACCCAACTGCAAAGCATCATGCTTAAGCAATAATCTTGTATGGTGTATAAAGCGAAACCAATATTGAAATCATCCCTGGTAATGTAAGTACAACGTAGGGTATTATACCAATGTCTAAAAGTTTGTATATTTTCGCATTGAGATTTCCCTTTGTAGGTTCCCTTTTTTTTCTCAAGAAAGTGTACTTTTTTCTTGGTGCCCCCCCCCCCCCCACTTTGAAATTCGCTCGGCCGCCCCTGTATGAAAGCACCCCCTTCCTTTTTTTTTTGCTGAGTGTTGTTTGGCATCAAGAATACAGGCATGATGGAGTATACAAAAATGACTTCACACTTATTGCAACAGAAAATGTTTCAATTTTTTCTACTATCATGAATATTGAAAACATTATATAAATGATAATCCTACGAAATCTGAGTTGTGGAAAGAAAAGAAGAAAAAAAAAATCAAAAGTTGTGATTGATTATTATTTTCTGCCATCATGCATGCGTAAGTACGAGCAGAGGCATGTAAGCACGATGAAT